GTGAAGGATGGATAACCGAAGTTCTTCACTGTTTATCTTAATTTGAATGGTTAGTTTTATTAAAAATTTCTATTAGTCTTGGGTCTTTTAGAAGGGTTGGATAGTGAATCGACGTTTGAGGTCGTTAGACACTTGCTAAGTGGGTGGGGGAGAACAAAATTGTTCTTTTTGATCCAAGGATAGGCCTTGATGATCAGGTTTTAAATTTAGTGAAATAGAAAATTAATTAAGATCCAAGGATAAGCCTTGATGATCTGATTTTAAAATTAAGTGAATTGAAGTTTTAAATTGTTTAAGTTTATTTAAGAAATAGATTTAATTCTTTAATGATATTAGTGAGCTTATGAGTGCTGTTATGTTTTAGGTGATGATGCTGGGACAACAGATGATTTATGATTACTAACAATTTATTGTCATGCTTCTAATCTATTATTGGTTAGTTCTAAGCTATTAAGGTCTTATTCGAGACTTATGGTCGCACCAGATGAGTTAGAACCGATGTGGTTAACTCATAGAGTAATTTTGGATAGGGTACACCGTCTGCTCGTCACGCTATCTTATTTTCGGCTGGATAGATTCGTGCAACTTCTTAGTCTAATACCGATCCTAATCTTACTCTTATACTTTCTAGTCTCAGGGTGTTCAACTAGTCTCTGCTAGGCTCAATAGATCTAGGGTATACTGGTTTATTGCGGCTGATGAAGTTCTCTTGGAAAGGCAACTAATTTCTAAGTTAAATTCAAATCTCTCTGGTGCTGAAATTACAAGTAATTTCAGCACTTACAAATAAGTGGGTTGTTAGTTAGATGGATTATGATTGGTTAATATTAAATACTTTACAGTGGTAAAATATCCAATTTATCCAATCATAAAATGTAGTTTAGATCAGGTTCCACCAGCCTTCTTTTGCGGCTGCGTTTAATTTCGTTGTGTTATTTATTGTAGGAAGCAATTCCACATTCAGCAACCATATGAAGAGCTGTAGCTTCTTGCGTTCTCGCTTTTCAAAAGGAATGTTCAAGAACAAAGCTAATAGGTAGAACAAAGCTATCGAAGAACAAAGCTAATCGAAGTAAATGGTAGTTTTTTTTGCTTGGTTTGTTTCCGAGCCGATACCTCAAATGACCGTGAGCAAAAAACAATCCTAATGTCGAGAACCAGTCGTAAGCTCAATTATTTTTTTTTGATAATTAAGATTGTCTCAGTGACAGAATACCTAAAAATATTGTGGGGATCTCCACACATATTAGCAGCCAAAATTAACAGTAAAAAATTTATTGGCAGTAAAAAAATAGTATTTGGTTATTTTTTTTGTTCATTTAATCCGAGCGAGACTGCGTTAGTAGAGCTTCGTTCATTTCTCGTTATATTTTTAAATGCATTGTCAAACCTCTAATTGGCTTTTTCAAATTGCATTAGCTATTTTGTCGAATGGTATTGATTAGTGGGGCATATTTGAGAGCAATGATAGTTAGCCCTCAGCGGTCTAGTGAAGCGTTTCTTTAAAGCTGAAGGTTGTGGGTGCAATTCATCGTTGCGAAAGTATCTTTTTAATGTTTGATTTTTAAAGAAGTTTTTTTTCACGTTTTTTATTGCAGGTGTTTGCGATATGCAGTTTCGGGGCCTTTTAATCCGCTCAAAAATTTAGCAGCATAAATTACTGAAACCGTTCTTTCAGTTTCTTTTCTTTTTTCAAGTTTGAGATTTGATTATGTGTTGGGATAATTTAAATTTCCCTAGCTTCACCTCTGTGTTGAAAAACAGCCTGTCAAAATAAACGCATTTGGAAAAGAAAGAAAACACAATTTCTAATTTATGGATTTTGCAGCGCGATTAACACATTCATTGCAAAAATTATTGTTTTTAGTTCAGTCTCAGTAGTGGATTTAGGAAAGAAGAGGCGCGCCTTTAGTACTATTTCAAGACATTCATTTTGTGGCTGACCGACCATTAAATTTGTCTAAAGGCGCCTTAGAAGCCCATATACAGTTTTTGAGGGGGAAGCGCGAGCCGAAAAACGCAAATTTGTGTATCAAAACTCCAAAAAATTTTGACAAAGGGGTCTTAATAGTGTTTAGAGGAGCTCGGAAAATCAATTTGGATGACCTGAAAAAATTTTCCGACTAAAATATTGACAGTTAACTGAAAATCCGTGCTTGCCTCGAGAAAATCCTAAATCCGAGCCTGCATAGTCTAGTAGATTATCCGTGGAAGTTTTTGCTCGATATGATTAGGAATTTAATCCTGTAGGAGCGCAAGGTTTTCGAAATCAACCTATTAGATGGTGTTTGCCAAATCAATTTTTAATTCAGCTTATTTTTTCAGTTGCATATGCGAAGTCTAACTTTGCTTGTGTTCACGAACAGTCAATCATATTTTTTGTTTGTTTCGAAATGCTGGACCAGAAATATTTCTTTCACTTGGTTTTGGAAAGGTTACTTAGGTCACTAGAAAGTCGCGTTTCTTCTTCTTAGGCGGAGACAAAGCGGTGCTCATTTGCGCATCGAACGGGCACTTCAGAGACTTGGGCCTAGCATTGCTTAGTCTGTTACTGTTACCTAATTTACAAAGTGGACACAGCTCATTAGCCCGTGTACTTACTTGAAAATAATTTCTATATTCGAAGCTCATTGGTTGCAATTTTGTCTCCATGAACTACATTTTTTGCAGATGAAAATGAAAAGATAGCTTGCAGTATCGCCAATTGCTGTCGGTACGAGTGTTCAACTTAAGTCCGGATCTTCGGTCGAGTGTTATAAACCATGAGAGCTCTCAAGAGGTTAAATGGAGACTATCATACACTACAAACCGGGTGCTTCTTTCATCGACCCTCAATGCTTCAAATACTTCACGAAATGGTTTGATCATCTAAAGTACAAAAACCTATCGTGTGAATTTGGGGTTCCGAAAGAGCTATTATTCAGAAGTGAATTCGGCTCATCGCCCGTATGTCTGAGTATCTATGAAATTAGAAATGCTTTAAAGCTTCTTTATAAACTAAATGACAACAAAAATGTTTACACATACCGGGGGCATCCGATTGTCAGAGTTAAAATATTCGGTATTGTTCGAAAAGTTTCAGACAATGAAAAGTTTTTCAAATTTTTGATTCAAGATGACTCGCACACAATTCATTGTCTGCTGTGGAAAAATGATTTCGTCAAAATAAACCATGGGGAGCTACCTCTTAAATGGAGCGAAAACGTTTTAGTGTCTGCATTTATCAAGCAAATGGATTCGACTAGGATTTTAGACGTCTTTGAAATCAGCATATTCAACATCAAATGCGAAAGTCTAAAAGAAGAATTGAAATATATGCAATTGAGAGATAATCACCGGAATTACTTGGAAAAACGGCAAGTTAAAAATTCAATTTTATCCTACTGGGTGATAGTAAAAGTTGCAAATATTAATGGAAACGAGACAGAAAGTGTAGACTTGAAGACGATTACGTCACTGGATACGATTGTCTCGCTGTTATCGGAAAGATTGATAGGATTTTTGCGGTCGGACAGGAAAGTATTGGTCGATTTGTCTGAAATCATCAATAGCGAAGTTCTGGATTGCATAGTCGAGAAAAAAGTTGTACTTCCATGCTCGACAAGTTCAAACGAAAATGTGTGCTTCCAAAATAGTCAATTAGTTCTAGATATTGCTTTGAGTAGATTACTGAGAGAATGTATCATTCTAAAAATGAAGCCTAAAGTATCTCAAATGCCAGATGAAATTTGGAGCATGCCAAAAATATACGTTCCCTTTAATGACATTAAATTAAGACGTGAGATTACGATGAATATTGGGAGCTCAAAACCGCCGTTGACTACTGAAGTGTTGGAAATGATGTTTGCGTCTTTCGAACGGTCCGTTTTGAAGTGCAAGATGAACTCAATGCATTTGAAACACGTTCTTGATGAACTTATGCATGATTCTGAGATCTTTATGATTGACAATTATTGGAATTTGGCTTCCTGATTGTTGAATTTTTGAATTAAAACAGTGATTTGAATTTAGCTAGCATTGGCCGGGTATCAGCGCTTAAAAGTTAGTCACACTAGAAGTCTCCATGGGGACGGTCAACACGCTGTGGTTGCTTCTTTAAATTCCTTGGCGTCCTTGTTTAATCATTCGAACTAGTTTTTTTTTCAAAAACGTTAAGTTGTTTGTTCGGGGCAATTTTTTTTATCCTGATAACGCCCTGATTAAGCCGATGCTGTTTCAGAAGATGACTATAGTGAACAAGCCCGAATTATACTTGTCTGAACCTGATAAGCTTTAAATATTCATGTCTGATAAAGTATCGCATACAATTAATAGTCTTATTTTTGTAGTTATCAGAATGGCATTAAAAAGTTGATAAAATCGACAGAAACCTGGTTAGACTTACTTGAATCTCTAGTTCAATTAAATATTACAAAGCTATACATGTGCTGTAAAATATGGTGGCTGAACACGGCCTGTTGATTCACCGAATAATTATGCTGCAGCTCAAATAAAAGTAACTTTGCATTATAGATTTCTATTAATCAAGAGCTCTATGTATAGTTACTGTTGACATTGTAGTGCTCGTTTTTCTTTTTTTATAAGAGTTCATAATAGTAATTGGTTTAAGTAAGCTGCATTTTCTTGTTAGTTTGGCAAATTTTACGAAAACTGTTTTCATGCTTGTTTGTGCGTGTCATGCTCGAGCGCATGGCGGTCCGCTGCTTGAACAAAAATAGCGATTTGACCATGTAAAATAAAATAATTTTTTGATGATCGAAATGGTTACTTTTTGGAAGGATGAATTATTTGAAACAAACTATTCATTATTTAGTTGTCGTTCACAGCTCACATGTTTGAGAAGTCCCTATGCTGACATGTTAAACAGAATTGTAAAAGATATAAACTTCTGACTTTCAATTGTTATCGATAAAAAATTGTCGAGGCTGAGAGCTCGAATAGATTTTTAAAATTTACGTATTAATAGATATAGATATTTCAATTCTCAGATTTGTGGCGGGTTAGTATAGGTTTTAATGAATGTAGGTGTGTGATTTACTTTCAGAACCATAAATGTTGGTCAAGTTAGTGAAGAACAACGCCTACTTCAAGAGATACCAGGTCAAGTTCCGGAGGAGGCGAGAGGGTAAGACTGACTACTATGCTAGGAAGCGACTGGTCACTCAGGCGAAGAACAAGTACAACACTCCTAAGTACCGAGTGGTAGCCAGAGTGACAAATAAAGATGTCATTGCACAGCTGGTCTACTCAACCATCACCGGAGATAAGGTATTTGAGGACGTGATCTAATTTTTCTCCTGTTTTATTGAAATGTAGTAAAATTTGCCCGCAAGTCCCGGCAATTTTTGTCACAAATTATTATGAATTCTGTTATTCTGATGTCTGAATCTCAGCATTGGGCCTAGCTGATCTATAAGCCTCAATGGCAGGACAATAATGTTAGATTGTTTATGAATCTGGGTTCTTCATAGCTGCTGAATACAATGTTTTGTACTGGTAATTATCATTGATGAAAGTTGATGCCTAGACTAGTTTGACTAGTTTTTATACAATTAACATTGAGCAGTAGAAAGGTGTGCCTCGAATTGTGAAGCGAGTGACTTGTTTGCAAAACAGACACGCTTTTCGGTTTATCTGCCTAATTACGCTTGCGCTTAGCTAGCGTTATCAAATCGTAATAAAGACTTTTTTCGGATTAGCAAAATCACTGAATCCTTTGTGCAGCATTCAGTTCTGCAGCAAACATGTCCAATTTTTTGAAAATTCAAATTTAAATACTGGTTACGAAACTTAGTTGACTGCTAAGAACCTAAAGAACTTAGGCTCGAATCCGGTCAGCAATAATAGTATCAAAAAGATCAGCGTCCTATCAGTTGTTTGATTATGTTTTGTCGGCTAAGTTTCCTTATTTTTTTACCTTTAAGGTGCTGTAAGCTAAACCTACTGTAAATGAAGTGTCTTGCAAGGGTATTGCAATCGGGTACTAGACTTTTTTCCTTTGTACAGAGAATGGTTAAAAATTAGAAACGGTAAATTTAGGTTCAGATCATGATAAATTAAACTTCTTTGCGATTCGCCGGTACACTTGGTCTGGTGGTAACGAATACGCGTGGGACGGCAAAATTCCTAGGTTTGAATTTGACAGACATTGCTGTTTTTTTCAAACGGGAAATTTTCCGTTTCAAAAAAATGTCTGATTATTAATTGTCTGCTTATGTTTTGTCGGCTAAGTTGCTACATCCTAGAATTGTTTTTTTTTGCATGCGCATTTTACATTGCAGTTGCTCTTGGTATTTTGATTTACTTCGGCTGTATGTAATGGCTTAACTTCTTGTTTTTTCGCCTAAAACTTTTTCTGCGCAAATGATTTCAGCTTGTTATTTATCGGCTTAATTGCCTTATGTTGAGTCGTTTCACGATAAACGTAGTTTATATGCTCACCTCTAGGTTGCACAAATTGCAAAAATTTTAAGAGGAATTTTAGTTCAATTTTTTCATGATAACATTTTTTTCGGCTTTTTAGTTTTTTTCTTATCCTTTTTTCGGCGTAATTGCTTTCGGCCTATATTATATCGGCTTACTGACCTAATATTGCGTCTTTCGGCGAGAAAAACAATGTAAGTGTGTGTTTTTTGAGGTTGAGAAGGACTTAATAGTGTTTCGTTGGTCTTAAACTTTTTGAATTGTTTTGTTGGCTTTTTTGGCTTAATAGGTTCGGCCAATGTTATATCGGCTTAGTGGCCTAATATTTTTTCATTTCACGACCAAATAAATTTTTCTGTTTGTGTATGTTTTGAGGGCAAGGAAAATTTGTTAATTTTTTATAAGTCTTAGTCTTGTTGATTTTTTTTCGGCTTAAAGGGTTTCTGCTAAGGTATTTTCGGTTTTGTTACCGCTTGGTAAATTTCTTCCGATGATAATTTTTTGTTCTATTTTCTTGGCATATTCGTATTTCAAAATTAGCTTGATTCATTTTGATAAATCTAGTCTTTTTGTATCGCAAACGGCGCCAAGCACAGCTTCGCCTGTCTTGATGTTTCGAACTGAGTATTCGGGTCTGTTTTAGTTTTCTTTTTTTTTCCGTTTTCCACGCAAAATGAGGTACCACATTTAATCATGGGAATGGGTCGAGTGATATTGGAGCCATTTCAGTTGTGATTCGTTCTCAAAAAGTTTTTCCATATCGAGAAAAATTGGTTTAGACTTCTTGATTTTTAAATCCAATTTCGAGCGAATAAAGGGAGCGAGCAGGCTTACAATAGCTTATTCATGCTAAATTCAAGCCCCGAAAACTTAGTTTTACGCAAGTAAAATTAGTTTTTTAGTGCCTATTTGAGAATTAAAAACTTCAAAAAAATTCAAAACTTCTAAAAAAAAATTGATTTTTTCTTCTTGATTTTTTCTTTTCATTTTTTTTTCAAAAAAAACTGTTGTCCGATTTGTCTATATTATTTTGACTGTCGAATGTGCCTAAATTCTAGTTTTACACCAGATACTTCTATCACACCACGAAGAAAACACTACTAATTTGAAAAAAAAAACTTTCTTTTTTGTAATTTTGAAGACTATGGTCGGAACATTCTGTGCTACTTGCACAGTAACCGGCTATCTTTGTTTTCATTTGTTTTCATCTGAAAAGTTTTTTATTCCTGAAATTTTTGCCCTGTGATGGCGTAGTACACTTTTGTCTGTGTGCAAAGCTGGTAAACCCATTTACGAAACAAATTTAAGTGTGAAGTCATATGGTCTGTAGTCTTTTGGTTGTTAATTTTTCATGAAGGTACCTTCGATAGATTGTTTAGGTAGTAGTTGCAGCATACGCCCACGAGTTGCCCAGCTATGGGCTGCCAGTAGGTCTAACAAATTATGCTGCCTGTTACTGTGTTGGACTCCTGTTAGCCAGAAGGACTCTAAGGCACTACAAGTTAGATGACATCTACGAGGGACAGGCCGAGATCGACGGCGAGCAGTTCGAGGTCAGTGAAAAATGAAAATAGGCATTGAAAAGCATGCTGACTTATATAACTCGGGTTCGAGTATTGATTAATTACTTGCTGGATTGCTCCATTTTCGTTAATTTTCAATCGCTGAGACAGTAATTTGTTTTTAAGGCAGCTTATATAAATTTGTTCATTTCTCGAAATTGGTTGAAGAATAATGGCTGATGCATTATTTCAACTATTTTCTTTATCAGTATTTTTAATGAAAGTCTCGGGAGATTACATACTTGGAAAAGTTGCGAATAAACTTTTTGACTTAAAAGTGGGACCTCAAAGTGTGTTATTTCAGGTAGAACCAGTGCCAGGTCAACGAGGTCCTTTTAGATGCTACCTAGATACTGGCCTGGCCAGAACTTCCAAGGGCGCCAGAATATTCGGCGTCCTCAAGGGTGCAGTAGACGGAGGCATGGCGATACCCCACAAATACAAGCGATTCCCGGGATACACACCTGCAGAGGGCGAGGATGAGGAGAATTATGATGCGGCCGAGCACCGAAGGTACATTTTCGGACAGCATGTTGCAGACTACATGAAAAGCTTGATGGAAGAAGATGATGACGTCTACAAACGACAGTTCTCGCGATTCATCAAGAATGGAATCTCGCCTGATAACATAGAGGCGTTGTATAGTAAAGTACACGCAGCAATTAGAGCCAATCCGGAACATAAAAAGGCAGAAAAGGCGTCGTTTAAACCTGGGAAGAGGTTCAACGCCAAGAAATTGACTTACCAGGAGAGATTCGCCAAGAGACCAAGGCTAGAAGACCTCCAAGATCAGTAGAACTGTTGCAATATTGAAACTAGAATTTAATGAGTGAACTAATTAATGGCGTTTCATAGCATTGCATTATTGGTTCTATTGAATTAAGTTTTCAAAGCACATGTTGAAGTATAAGACAAAAGCATGCACGTTAATTGCTTGTTTAAGTGAATCGTTAACTATTTTTTGTCACTTATCGTTGCTTAGTTTTTTTAGAGGAGTAACATTAAGGCTTCAGGTGAGAAAAATTGTTTGTTCAGGATTTTTAGGTTCCAAAATCTATCTTGCCGATAAAATTAAGACCGCATTAGAACTTAACAGTTGCGCAGAGATAGGTCAATCTGGAAACAATCGTTTGTTGGTGTAAAACGTACGATTACGATGAACAGACGGTACTTTTTCGACCACCATTGAATGGGACGAACTATGGCCTTAGAAGGAATGTATAACGCAAAATCAAAAAAATGAAAGAAAATTTGCAGGGTTTTAATTCTACTTACGTTAAAAACTGTTAAGATAAGTCCGATTTCAAAAAATTTTTTTTTGAAAGTTGATAAACCTAATGAAGACCTTATACAGGTCGGATGATTTGTTTTGATTTTATTTACGGAAAATTTTAGAAATTGTTCGCGCTCTAATTTGATTTTTCGCAGTTTGACTACTGATTTTTAAATTTAATTCAGCTCCTTTTTGTTAAAAGCGAGGCAAGCTACACTATCGAACTGCCAAAGTTAAAAGGTACTGAAAAGATGATCAATTTCTGGTAATAAAAACTTCAGCTATTGAACCAGTTTTCTCAAATTGAGTTAATGTATCAGAAGCATCGATCATCCCTTTTTCTTGAAATTCCAAAGTTCAAGGCCAGGCTTCCATTTTGAAATTCGAAAAGTAAGATTTTTTTAAGAAAAACTATCATGGCAGTTTCTTTTCTGTTTCCTTGCAATCACTTTACAACTGTGTTGGCTATGTTGTAACACTGGTGTCGAAGAAAGTGGTCTGCATGCTTTTTCACTGTCATTCTCAATTATTTTTTGCATTGGAATATGGAAAATTTTCGTATATTCAGAGCTGCATTTTTCCAGTCTCTACAGAAACTGCTCCAAAAATTCTACAACAAAATTGGAATTAAAAAAAAATTAGCCAAAACCGCCACTGAAAATGTCTGCTCTATTTTTTTAGTTCTAAATGTTTTTGTTCTTAAACTTGCGTCAGCTTAGTTGATTATTAGGAACCTTCTTTTTCTATCTAACCTTAGTGGCAAATATTGTTGCAAATTTTGGAGCACCTTCAGAGTTTTTTGATAGCATGTGCTTTTATATCGAAATAGTAATAAATTTATACAGTTGAAGATTTTTTAAATCATCAAATGAACCTAGCAATAACTAAAACTCGATTTCAGAAATTTTCTAGCAATTTTTTGAAATGCATAATCCTTACACAAAATGGCTTTATTCTTTGCCGCTTGTTACAAGCAAAGTTAGTGTGGATGCCTTTAGTTTGTTATATGCCAAAATGATACTTGCAAAGTTTTGTCTACTTGTCTTTGATGCCACTTTTGCTGAGTTGTTTTGGCAATTTATTAGCATATGTAGAAGCTTTATTCGTGACTTGAGATTGTCGGTGGTTAAGCGTGCGTGGCCGAGTGGTTAGTGCTTGAGACTCAAAATCTCCTAATTACAGTAGGTCGCAGATCGAATCCTAGACTTAGCCGAATTTTTGCTAAGTCGAGGCTTATGTCTACTTTTCATTATTGCACTTTCTAGAGCTGGTTTTTGTCGTGTTCTCGCTAGTGTTTGCGAAGCGAAGTTTTGCCTATGTGTATAAATTTCACTGGTCAATTGTTTTTTTTTTTGACAATAGCTCAAATTTATGCGCGAAAACTTTCCATTTGATAGACTTTCAAATAATTCAGAAACTTTCATTCAAACTATAGCAGAGGAATTTCAAAGCCCTTGCAGTCGTCAAGTGACTCATATTTACACAAGCATAGCTTGTGTTATAGTATGAACTCTTTTTTCCCAAAATAAATAAGCCGCAAATGTTGTTGCGATGCAATTGTTGCGACGAAATTAATTCATTTTGAAAGTGTTCATTTTGATCCAGCGTATGCTAAGGATATTAACACGGACTAATATTTTAAAAATAGCTTTTTTAGCTTCAGGAATCTGTAGCGTAGAGGTAGCGAAGGAGACGAGCTACAGAATAAGAGGGTTCAAACCTAGGCAAGGTCGGATGTTTTTAATGAACTTTTTCTTATACAAGTTAAATTGAGACTTGTTAGTTGAGGCGTGTTGTAAATTGAGGCGTGTAATTGAGGCGTGTTAATTGGTGAATTTCTATTTTTTCAAATCGAATGTTACTCTTAATGCGTCAGAATTCGCGTGCGTCTTTTAGCAATTATGTAGACTCATAATTGGCGTGTGTCACATAAGAATTTTTTTAACTCAAATTTTTACTCTTTCAGTTTATCCCAGTAGCGTTATCGGTCATATTTTTGCTTGTGTTTGCGAAGAGTAACTTCGCCACTGAGTTAAAAACTTCCTTAAATCTCCTGCATGTAGAGAAAGACTGGTTGAAAATTTTTTATTTTAAATAAATTTTTGAGCGAATAAAGCAAGCAAGCAAGTCTGCAAAACAGAAATCAGACGTAAAAATTTATTTTACTCCCAGAATATCAGTTTTAGAACTTTTTTAGCACTTTCTTGAAAACAAAAAAATCATTGGAAAAATTCAGCAAAAGCTCTGAACAAAAGCAAAGTTTTTAGATTTGTTTTTTGGCTAATCATGTTCTTAAACTTGCGAAAGCAAAAGTCTTATAATCGGGACTTTTTCCCGCAAACAATTTTTCTCACAAAAATTCATCTTGCTTATTAAAAAATTCTAAGAACTTCCAGGTTCCTTTGCATTTAGCGTAAAACTAACGCCGTCGCTTTGTACCACGCCGGACCTTGTTTTTTTTTCAGTTTGTATGCGTTAAAAAAATTTTCCGGTAAAAAATGATTTGCCGGTTTTTCCTGTATCTGCTCGAGTTTTGTCGGTTTAGGTGCCACATCACGGATTTTTCTTGTGCTGTAAGCAAATATCATAGTAGTTGCAAGTGTTGTTCATTGTAGTTTCAAGTGGGGACTTGAAAAGTTTTAAAGTTTTTTTTCGGCCCAACTGGTTAAAAACCAGGTCAAAGGCTCTTTCGGCTCAAAGATTGTCAGCTTTACTTTCGCTTTTCTCGTTGCTAACTTAAAAGCTTCTTTTGTTGTTCCTAATTCAAAATTGTATTGCCGTGCTAAGGATGTTTGCCTAGAATTCCTGCTTGATAAAAAGAAGTGTCGAGAAAATCTACGGGATTGGATTTTTCGTTTTGCTCTTCCCGAGACTCGTTTTGCTTTTCGATTTTTTTTCCTTTTTGTTGCAAAATGTTAGTTCTTCTCAAGTTTTTGCAATGGAGTTCCAAAAAAGTGCTATCAATGGAAAAACCAGCTACATGTTTTTGTGCCTCCATGCCATCCCAGTCTCTTCTTACTTAGCCCCTCCGTCCACAGTCTTCGAAGAGAGGGATTTATTTGACCCATATCTTTTTTTTAGAAATTAATAATTTTTAAGAACTTCCAGGTTCCTTCGCATTTAGTGTAAAACTAACGCCGTCGCCTTTGCACCCGGCCGGACCTTGTTTTTTCAATTTGTATGCGTTAAAATTTTTTCCAGGTAAAATTGATTTGTCGGTCTGTCCAGTAACTGCTCTAGTTTTGTCTGTTTAGTTGCCACGTCACGGATTTTTCTTTTACTGTAAGCAAATTTCATAGTAGTTGCAAGTGTTGTTCATTGTAGTTTCACTGGGGATTTGAAAGGTTTCAAAGTTTTTTTAAAAATAAGTTTTTTTTTCGGCTCAACTGGTTAAAAACCAGGTCAAAGGCTCTTTCGGCATAAAGATTGTCGGCTTTACTTTCGCTTTTTTCGTAACTAATTTAAAGTATTATTTTGTTGTTGCTAATTCCAAAAATCATTGCCGTGCTGGGCATGTTTGAAAAGGGGGATTTATTTGACCCTTATCTTTGTTTTTTTTTGTTTTCTTAAAAACTACCCTGCCAAATCTAATGTTGTGGTTGCAATGGAGAAAACACTTGGTGGAAAGCCCTCCTGCAATAGTGAACAGTAACACATTTTTTTCAAGAAAAAGTTATCGCCCTGGGAAAAGTCATTTTTTTGATTTTTGAATGTTTTTTTTAAACTTTGTTGGTTCTTTTGAGTTTTTGGTATCAATCTAAAGAACGGGTTGTGGGAAGTTCCTTTGCATACATAACCACGCCCAACTTTTTTGACACAAAAAATTACTCGGACAAGTTTTTTTTATGATTTTGAGTTTTTTGAAGCTTTTAGACATTTCTTGATAACTAACATCTCAAATCGGAGTTTTTGGGTTAATCGAAATAAAAAGTTGCGCAAATGTCTCCTGCACAAGCGGCTAGGTCAAAAATTTTCTTCACAAAAACTCTGATTCTCCTAAGAGTCAGTTTTTGTTTTTTTCTACCGTTTTTTGAAACTTTGACTTTTCTCATGTGTCTGTTAAGATTTGTCTTTTTTAGAATTTAGTGTTCTTGAATGGCTTCAAAAATGTGCAGCATTTGATTTTTCTAAGCATCTGCAGATAAAATTTTTACTTTCTTTAACGCTACGGTAAAACCATCTAATTATTTCATATTTTATGTAGTTACGGTCCAGTTTGAGGATGTAGTTTGTTATGTGGTTAGTATGTTGTTAAGTGCCATGCAGTCAATGTGTTTTTGATGTACACTTATTTGTCTTATTGATTTTGCTCATGGTTTTCTATTACCGAGGATAAAAACTTAAATTACTGCGGCAATTAGAGATAGTAATCCACAAAACTCCTACAAATCTTTGGTCTATTTTCTCTGATGAAAACTCTAGCTATCGAGAAAATGTTAGCATTTTTTTTTAAATATTTCAATAGTTCACAAAATCTTTAAGCAAACTAAATCAGCCATATTTAAGTCGTACGAATTTGAAAGTCGTTCGAATTTGATCAGGACCTGTTTTTTTTTCAGTTTGACCAGGACTGTTTTTTTTCACCAGTTAGAAATGAAATTGTCGGCCAATTATTTGTCTGCTT